GGAGGGAGGGCCGGAAGGATCTGAGTTCACCGCGGTCACAGGTCAAAGTCGGGATGCGAACTGCAAGAAGTTTAGTTTGACTTTTGTTCCCGGTGGCGCAAAGTTGCACAAATGTGTTTCGTGTCGTCTTCTTATCTTCGTCCCTGCCACCCTTGGATCTGTACTGCTGCTGTGCAGTTGGACACGCGGGAAGTACTGCCTTGGTGGCGAAACACTGGTCGCAAGATGTTTCCGTACCTGGCGCCAGTAGCGCAGCAGGTGCTTGGAAACCAGGCGGGTGCCGCGCAGGTAGAGCGCGACTTCAGTAGTTGCGCTAATCTCCTCACGCGCAACAGGAGCCGCATCGACACCTACTGGGTAGAGATGGTGATGTTCCTCCACGTCAACTACAAGCGTATCCCCGCGTTCAAGGACATTCCCATGATTGCCGCCAAGGATATCAGGACATGTCTGCCGCCACGGTTCAACGGGGGGGATGCTGACCTGGCCGCCGCTGAGGCTGCCTTCGACGTGATTGAGAACACCAACAACTCGGACATCGGCGTGTGAAAGTCGCGAGCGTTTCATAAGTAGCCTCTTTCTTTGACTCCGTAAGAAGGACGTAGCAGTCAAAGTAGGTTGAGTCGGAGTCGCATGGGAAGGCTAAGGCTTCTGCTCTTGGTGTTGTGTTACCGAACAGTTTCGCGATCGTAAACTAAGTACTGCGCGGCTACGGCAGTTGATTTGATTTGAACGATAGACTAATTTCAGTGCTGGGTACGATTTCTATTTTGTTCAATGCTATAGCGCCCTTGCCTCTCTTCCTGTACCTTCGTCGTAAACACGCACGTCGTCAAACTCGTCATGTTCTGTAGGGTAATTCACGGGTACCGCGTAATTACCGGGGGCTCTTCTGTACACACAGAGTTCTGTAACACCCCCTGTACCCTACAGAATATCTCTGTGCCGCCCCCTGTATCCTACAGAATAGTTCTGTAACACCCTCGCACAATACAGAATAGTTCTGTAGCACCCTCGCACAATACAGAATTGTTCTGTGGGTTATGTAGCACCCTCGTACAATACAGAATAGTTCTGTGGGTTCTGTAGCACCCTCGTACAACACAGAATAGTTCTGTGAGGTTCTGTAACACCCTCGCACAATACAGAATAGTTCTGTGAGTTCTGTGACACCCCCGGTACCCTACAGAGAGTACCTGTACCCTACAGAATACACCCGTGCATTATTTATTAACAGGCGTTCTTATTTTGCACATAGACATGTAACGATATTTGAACATAACACAACAACACTACTCCAGGAATTGCTCAACAAAGAAACGGGACACTAACCAATAAAGGAAAAGATAATCGCACGCAGGCTAAGCTTTTTTTCTTCTTTTTTCTGGCGACTCGCTATTCTTTTGCGCCTGGCTGCGGGCGTTCCAAAACTGTCCCTTTTGTTTTTTTATTCGATCTCAGTCAAAAGTTGTGGAGGGACAACCAAAATCGGGTCCTGTACAATTACTTTACTACTTCGAAGTATTATTATACTATGAAGCACGAATATTTCACGTGATTCCTGACCACCGTAGAATACCTGTTTTTTTTTTATCGGTTTCCGGGGGCTCTTTTCTCGAACGGTCGGTGCGATACCTGTTCTTTTCTTTCTATCATTTTGTTTTCTTTTTCCGAGTGGTTTGTACCCTAGTTTTATTAATCTTCCCCGCCGCGTCGTATGTGCCGGGTTTTGAGACCACGGGCTCCCCATTTTTTGTGGACTATATATAGAGCTAATGTGAGAAACAACAACAACCCGACGTGTCCCATAACGTCATACCTTTGCGTCCCTCTCGCTCTCTTCGTCCCAACAGAGACAGGCGTAGAAGACCGTTGGAGGTGGCAAGACGCAAGCACCCTTAGCGAATGTTTTTCGCTGACGGCGATTTCCACTTGGGAGACGAAAACATTAACATTGGGTAGTGGGTCCAGCTGAACGAGTACGTGTGAACTGCACGTATTTGCTTTACAAGCCCCGAGAGGGCCTACTCCGTACCATGTAGAGAGGGACTTTGAGGGGACGCGAGTCGACGCTTAACACTTGGGGGCACCACCAGGTCGCGAGAGCCACTTTGCCCAGGTGGTTGTGGCTACCGTAACCAACACTGGCTTCCGATTCACAATCCCAGTGAGTTTCTTCTTCGTGCGCCAATCCCGCCAGCAGCCAGGTGTTGGTTGCGAATCCAACGGGAGCTTATCGGAAATGCTTGCCCATTACCCAACCACAGGGTATTGCGGAACATGACCTCTGTTCAGTCTACGAGCGATCAAATGTTACAATGACATTGAAGGGATCATAGCAGAAAAAGATTCGACGAGCCAATAGACTTGAATTTCATCCACGTCGAGTCCTTACGAACCGGTCTGAAATTAAACCACACACATAACGTAGCTCGAGAAAATCGCGTGTTCGCGAGAAACCACAGCCTGTTCCCCGTACGGTGGTGCAACGATTTAACGAGTGAGCTCTCCAAACACACATGCTCCGGCATTGGCAGCACTTGTCAGCGCTGGAATATCGAGCATGGAAAATCGAAGGGGTGTTGTATCTTCCGACATCTTTCCAACAAGACGGAATGTTGCAGTATTAAGTTGCTGGTGTTTCACACATACCAAAATCGTATCTAAATCATCCCTGAAAAAAATTCCCCTGCTTATTAAGCGATACCGCGCAGGGTCGAGCAAAAAAAAAAACGAAGAAGCGTAAGGCGTATCCATCATCACTAAAATATGTGTGCCGCTCTCAAATGTCTGCAAATGGATCGGTACCACCAGCAGACACGACCGCAAAAACCTGTTGGAATGCGGCACATCCCAGGACCTTCCGCATACATCGATACAGCAGTACGCCAAGAAAACACACAAAAAAAAAACTCCCCTCCCACAAGAGAAAAACGAAATGTATGCAAAGGGGCGACGGGGTTGAAGACAACACCTCTCTCGGCACGCCATGCAAGCGCACGGAAGTACACATAAGAGTCCCAGGAGCCTTTTTCTGCCCCTGACAGCCCTTCCCCCCGAGCGCACGCGTGAAAGAAAAATATAACGCAGGACAAGCCATCACATACCAACCGGCGTCGCGACAACTACGCCGAAAACAAAAGTAGTCTACACCCCTCCACCCCCGTTCCCCGGCCGACTCTCCTGGTGGGCGTGATTGATCGTGTCGTATCTCCTCTGGCCACCACCTCCCCTCACACAGCACGGTGGCCCCAAGACGACAAGTCTGTCCCTCACGACGGAAAACACGATGCTCAACACGTGCACATTCACCCCTGGTGCGTGCAGCATGGAGAGATTTGTCAATGCTTCCACCGGTAGCCCCACCAAAACGCTGCGGCGTCGAAAACGAAGGCTGCACGCATCTTCCAGTCTCAGCACCCTCCACCCCCCCCCTCCTGGAAAAAAATGAGTAACATGATTCGACATTAGACAGGACACGTGCGAGACGACAACCCCCCCGCCAACAAACACAATTAAGAAGCAAGTGTGCATCACGAGCCAAGGGGGGGGG